TGTGGGTATTACATCATAGGCAACGCTGGTTTGACTTGTTAATTTTTTTTTAAATGTTTAATGTTTTGTTTATTTTTAAAACCATCAGTTGGGTTCTTTTACTAAGTGGTACTAAGTGGTATTGGTACCTATTAACATTTTGCTAAATAGTCCCTGTTATTAGTTTTCCCAAGTCCATGTGAGGTTCTGCAGAAATTCAGTTAGCTTTCGGAAATTCCATTTTACGAAAAATACAAAGATTCACCGGAAAACTAATACAACACGAATTTCTGATTCAATGTTCTCTATTATGGATTTTATGGTAAGGCAAGCCTGGGATAATTTTGCAACCCAAATAAATTATTTAACAAACATTAAAGGACCATTTGGCAAATTCAAAATATAATTCAGATTATTAAAGGGACCAAAATGCAATTCAACATTTTTACTTGACTGACTTGTTATCAGTGCCGGACCCATGAATTTATTTGAGAGGGGATGAAAATAAAATAAAAAATATTTCTGCAAAAACCATTGAAGTTGAAGCCTTCTTAGCAATTGACAGATCTACATAGAAAGGAAATTTATGATCAGAAAAACATGATCCATTACACAAAAACATTCTTTTCAAGCATCTCAAATATTAGTGATCTTAAGAAATTATCACAAACAACAGGTCTGGATGACGCTTGAGGGTACTCATGAATCGAGTTGGTGCCAGTACTAGGGATTATATTCTCACTGGGAATAACTGGAGTACTTGAATCAGCAGAAGTTCTGACCAAATTTGAAGGAAATGAAGGTTGACTCTGTGTGTAAGTACTTGTAAACAGAGTTGTTTTGGCTTTGGAATATGATCTCATTCTCTTTGTCAGCAGGAAAATCATCAAATGCAGTTACTTGGCATGCATAAAAGATTGTCAACCATGCAGCTTTAGGTCCCTTGGTCTGAATCTTCGTAAAGAGAAGTTGGAGATTTAGATATTTGAAACTCTATCATGATTAAATCAATAGCAATTATGAACTAGTTTGTAATCATTATTCAAAATAAAAATAAAAATTCCACATGTTAATTGACTTCAAAACAAATTAAAGAAGCAAAACAACTCACCTGGAGTTGATTAAGGTTGGAATCTCTTATGCTGGTAAATGGGGACAATAGGCAACTTGTGGAGAGAGCAAATCTATAGCTGTCATGTTCAGAAAAATTCTCTATTGTTTGGTTGAAGGTTTATTTTAGGATTGATGGGAAAGTGTAAATGGATATTGGAAAATACCACGTTTGGTTCAAGTTTTTTCAAAAAATACTAGGCAAATAGGATAGATGGGAAAATGACTTTTGTGTTGATTTTTGGATGAAATTCACTGTTACAGAATACCACTTGAGATGTGGTATTTTGAGATAACTGGGGAAGTGAAAAATAGGTGCAAAATTTCTCCCGAACATAGATTTTGCATATTTAAATAAATTTTCCTGATAATATTTCGGTCAACCAAACAACTTTTTTTACATTTTTCTACCAAACTCACCTTCCAACTATTTCTCTAGTAAAAAAAAAATTTCTCTGCGACCAAACACTACATAAACCATTGAAAGATTAACCTCGTTTTTAAACTGAATGGAACATATATTTGAATTGAATACTTATTATGTAGATATATCGACGCTAATCCTTCACAGAAAATCCATAATATAAATAAAATCTTAGAGCTTCAACTTTCAACAATAGCTGATATAAAGTTTCATCATTTAACAAAAAAAATATAATATAAATTACTTTTTTTTAATAAATTATTATTTATACTTTTCTAATTCTAACAATAAAATATTTAATAAATAAAATATAACATGAAGTAAATAATTTGCCCCCACGCAGGATCGAACTACGGACCTTCAGTTTACAAGACTGACGCTCTACCACTGAGCTATAGGGGCAACTGGTGATTGTAATCTTTATTAAATATTATTTAATTATTTTATTGAAAAATTGATAATGTCATCCGAAATTTTTTGATATCCTACTGGAGCATAACTTAATTGCTAGAGGCCTTGACTATCCAATTTTTCTTATTCCTCTTTTTCTTCTCATCTTTTAAATTCTTTAATTCAATAGATAATATTTTCATCCAGAAAAAAATTATTTTCTAGGAATATATAAAAATTCGGGGGTGTTAAAAGAGCTGGCCTCCAAAACATGTATCTGCTAAGTTGGAGCTTGGTCCACCACCATGACAAATTATAGGTTCAGAATCTTAGGGCTGTGCATGGGTCAGGTTTTTGTCTGACTCGACCTAACTTAGTTTTTATAGGTCAGGTATTTAGATCCGATCCGCTTTAATTTGATCCAAGTCAGGTCTGACTTGGTTTGAATTTTGTTGAACTAGTTCAGAACCGGGTCGGATCTGACCTGACTTAATTTTTGAAGTGGGTCTGACTTGGTTTCTGAAGTAGGTCAAATCTGACCTGACCCGTTTTTGACTTGGTTTCCTCACAAAATTTCTATGTTGCAAACGACAAAAATTTCGTCACAAAATTATTTTTTCGTCGGAATATTTTTTGTCAAAAGCGACGAAATTTTTTCTCTGACGAAAATTTTTACAAATATAAATTTTCTATCGAAATTTACTTTCCGTTAAAATTTTTGACGAAAATGATTTCTTCCATCAAATATTTTAAACGAAAAAAAAATTCTGTCAAAAATTTTGATAGAATGTTTTTCGTTCAAAATTTCGATGAGAATGTGTTCTGACGAAAATTTCAACGGAAAGTTTCGAGGGGAATGTTTCATCCGAAACTTTCGACGAAATTTAGATTCTCTAAAGAATTTTGACAAAATATTTTTTTCGTCAAAATTTTTTATCGAAATATTTTTTGTCAAAAATTTTTACGAAATTTTTTACATAAACGTGTTCCGTTTAAAATTTTGATGGAAATATTTTTTATCAAAAAACTTGACTAAAATATTTAGTTGAAAATTTTCGATAGAAATGTGTTTCGCTAAAAATTTCAATGAAAATTTTTTTTTGTCAAAAAATTTAACGAAAATGTTTCCGTCGAAAACTTTTGATGAAATTTTTTTCCGTCAAAAAATTTCGATGGAAATGTGTTTCGTCGAAATTTTTGATGAATATATTTTTTGTGAAATATTTTGACGAAATTTAGATTCCGTATAAAAATTTGACAAAAAAAAATTCCGTCAAACTTTTTTACAGAAATATTTTAGTCACAAATTTTGATGAAAATATTTTTCGTCAAAAAATTTTGCGAAATTTTTTTATGGAAATATTTTCCTTAAAAATTTTTGACGTTATTGTTTTACGTTAAAACTTTTTTTTAATGTAATTATGATTTTTTTTCACAGAATGAATATGGGTCAATATTAAAACAAGTCAGGTCTAAAACTGACCCAAATAAAAGTGGGTCAGTGTTTAAACCAGTTCAAAAAATATAGATATTTATGAATCAGGTCAAAATCAGATCAATGACGGGACAAAGTAAACCAATTTTTTTTCACAGTTTAGATGCTTCTCGGCGAGTATGTCAATATTCATGGCAAATTCATCAACCAAGTGTCCTTGGGTGAGTCTTACATTTGGCATTCCGTCATGAAAATCAAAGCTTTCGCTCGTAACGTGCACATTAAGGATACGGAGCTCGTTTTGAAGACATATTTGACTATCTGGCAACTTTGATCCCCTCCAATATTTACGGTCAAATGCTAAGTATGCACCTCCAAGCGAAACACTGTTGGGCTTTTATGCTGATCCTAACTTCGACCATGGACCATCACACACAGCTCCTTAGGACCAGTAATTGACACTTTGGTGTAACAGAAACTTGGAGTGTTTGAATAACAATAGAATGGACATGCATGCTGTCATTGCATCCATCTCTATCCTAGCTGATTCTATTGCTAGAGCTTACCCGAGTGGGGCTCTAAGGAGACATGATTGGCATTGGGTAGCCAGTTTTGCAGGCTACTTTGGCTTCTCCGATAATCTATAAGTTGAACTCTTGGTTATTCTTTATGGCCTTATACTTTAGCTTGGGACGCTGGGCTGCGTAAGATAGTCAGTAACTCTAACTCTGCCAGTGCTATGTCTCTCCCCGTCCAGGGAACCCTCCTCTCCTTACCACAAGTATGTTTCGCCATATCCTCAGGGAAGGTAATATAACTTCCTTCCCAAACTTGGAGGACTCTAGTATGATCCAGTTCAAGACTCTTCTTCAGTGTACCAAAAAAAATTATTTATATTCGAAAAAACATAACATGCTTGCTGACAATTGAATGAATGAGTAATCGCTGCATTTATATCTTATTCAATAACTACCCTTTTATTTAGTTAAAAAAGAGAGGGGGAGGGGGAAGAAAAGAGGAGGAGAGGAGACCCGGGGGGGGGGGGGGGGTACGGAAATTGACATTATTTTTTAAAGAACCACTTTTATCTCAATTAACTTTCTATGAGAGCCAATTTTTAAAAAAATTAGGCCACGAACAAACATTTTCTATTTGAAAACAGGCCCCATTACACTTAAATATTTCGTTTTCAGAATTCTCAAACGCTTTAAAAACACATGACTACCAAATATTGAGTTCCTCTTAATATTCTTTTTAAGAGAACGCATTTATTTTAGGTTTTCTTCAGCATCCACTTGTTTCAACAAGAAATGCTAACACATTGGTCCCTTGCCTTCTACGAAATTGAGTTTGTGATGGCTATGCATGGTCTGAAACTAGAAGCCAGGACTCGGCTTCAGTACATGACCCATACAGGATTCCACATCATATGCACCTGGGTTACATTGAACCCATTACCCATATAAGTTAAAAATATTTCAGCAGTTGACTCTACTACATGAAAACTCAATAGAATTACATAATTAACCTTTCTTTAATCTACGTCTTTCATCTGAAAATTAGAAGCAAGTCAGAATAGGAGGGAGTATGAGGTATAAATAATAGGAAAACCCATAAATGAAAACAGTTAAAAACAGCAATATATTTTGACAATTATTGGTATTCTTCTGCCAATCCACTGACTGGAATATCGTTTCATTCGATCATATTACATCCAACGCTCGCCAGCAAAACCACATAATTCAAATGTAAAACATGAAAGCAAAATAACGAAAGCAAGAGGATCCAATCTGTTCACAAAAAGTCTGACAGTGACAGACACAACAAGAGAAGAACGAAAAAACATATTGACCGCTCTGTTCTATAACTAACATGTCTATAGGGATAATCTGTGCAAGCCATCCCAAATTCTATTTACACCAGTTCGCATAGAATCCTGATATCACTTCAACTTTCTAATTAAAGAACTATGAAATGGAATGAAACTTACTTTGGAACCCAGTCCAACGGCTATCGCCATGGTATATTCTACTTTTCTTTAATTTTTCTGGTATTAACACAAAGCAGTAGGGATAAAAAATGGAATAAAACCTCAAAGAAACTCAGAAAACTAAACAAAAAAAATACACAAATATACTTGGGTTGCCAAAACAGAAAACTATTGATCTTGTAACCTTGGTTTCCAAACATTATATCACATTGTCTTTGATTTTGAACCAAGTTGTTGATATCTATTAATCAATGGGAAGGTTGAAGACCGTATCCTGCATCATAAGATAAACATACAAATTCATAAGGTTATATTTTCAAAAATCTCAAGATAGATGGGAATGATTGAGACAAACCTGATCACACACAGGACAGGTTTCACATCTTTCCATCCATTCTAGAATGCAGGCAAGGTGAAAATGATGGTCACATTTTGTGGAGAGTTTTGGATTCTCTGCATCATACTCTGCTAGTATTAAAAGATGAAAATACATCAATAACTCTCAATTCCAAACAAAACAGGATATCTGTCACGTGATAAAGCTCAGTTGATGCTGAAAGCTAAAGAAGTTGAATAAAGAAGCTGTAACAACATCACCTTCTAAACAAATCGGGCATTCGTCCTCCTCTTTCACTAAAATAGTAGTTTCTGCCATCTTTGGAGGTCCAATTTCAGAATCCTTTCCTGTGTCAAGTTCAAAAGCAGTCTGGACTTTGCAATCTGATTCCTTCAGCTCTTCCGATTTAGTTGAGGTCCCATGATTGTCCCCCGCAACTGTTTCTTGAATTGGATTAGAATTTGTAGTAAGCAGAGATGCATTAGTCTTGTCCTCACAAATTTCTTGAGCCATAGGCGGAGTTTGAGTGAAACCTAATGTACCATTGAAAGGGATAGGAGCAGGAGGCGGTCTATAAATATCAGGACTTGAAGTGTCTAGATTAGTATCAACTAAGAGCCCTCCCGAAAAAGAAGGGGCAGCACCGTGGTGAGATGATAGTGGGACATGCTCCTCTGATACTCTTGGGTACTGCAGAGAGAATGCAGCAAATGAAGCAATGTTTAACAGATTTAATGCACAATCATTACTGAATGAAAATCTGATGTCAATTATAAATTCATAGTTATAAGAGGTAGACTTCAAAGAGCTCTTTAACCAAAGAAGAAAGGTCAATGTTCTGAGTCCCAGTATTGTTTATTATGTCCACTGTGCATTTGTTCAATGAGAGAGAGAGAGAATATAATCAAACTTTTTTAATTGCTACAACGCTGCAACAGTCATCCAGTTGAAGAGAGCTACCAATGCTTGCCAAACTCAATTCAAAGGTTGAAGACGATCAAGAAACAATACCCAAACTATATATATATATATATATATATATATATATATATATATAACATTCAATCTTACATGGTTGGTTTGAAAGGTTAAGATTGGTTTCTTCCATCTCTATATAAATACTACACTAGCTTTTATTTTTATTATATATTTTTTTTGGCTGAAGAGAAAGCAATGATTATTAACTATTAGTAAGCTTTGTAACTTAAATTTGATGAAATAAGCAGTAAAATTCATGCATGAATGCTTCTTGAAAAATCAAGCAGAAAATGGGACGGATACTGACATAGTAGGATGGAGGTGGAGCGCTCAATTCAGTCTCTCTGGAAGAACAACAACAACAACAACCGCCCATCTCCCTTTATCTCAAGTCTCCAAAAATTACTATGAGCACCGCGTGCATCGTTTTACCTGTCATCATCAGCATACAAAATTTACAACAGCCTTTACATTTAATTAAGCTATAACATAAACAGATGCAGAGCAGAGGAGAATAATATTATGGCGAATTAGTGATGGTGCTTTGAAATTACTGCATCCCCTCCCTTCACAAAATAACAGAGCAAGAGAAAACCCAATTGATAAAGACCTATTAACGAATTTGGTGGGACTCTTGCACTTGTACACACAGTGGAGGACGGCGATAGCAGATAAGTATTGGATTGAGAAGAATCGATGAATTAAAAATAGAAACAGGAATTAATAGAGAAGCAAAGAGAGAGAGAGATAAAACCTTACACGGAATTGGAAGGCAACGAAAAGCGTGAAGGAATAAGAGAGGGTTTCGGATATATCATATAGCGGAGCAGCTATCTATAGAGAAAGGCGCGATGAATCGTGAGCTTTGTTTGTTTTTGTAGCTCTTCTTCACAACTGCGGGATAAGGAGATTGAAAACGAATTTCGGCAAACAGTTCAGTGGGAAGAACCAAAGAAACTAAACTGTTTCGGTTCAGTAGTTCGCACTTCGCGGGGAAGAGTCCCTTCCTTTCCTTTGATATTTTTTATTTATATGATATGATAACGATTCTTTGGTGAGGTGTTTGTACCGGAGTGAAGGTTAGGTTACGTGTACCAGGATTCAAACATGGGCCAGCCCAATACTATTCTGGACTTTGCATTTTCTTTAGTAAGTCCAGCTCAGCTGGGCCTGGGTTTTGCTCATGTAGTTTGCACTTTGCAAGAGGAAGGAGATAACTGAAGAGGAATCGACCCTTATATTTCAATTTCATTTTCTTCTATTATTGGTCTAAGTTTGATATGATAATGGATTGATAGTAATTTCCTGTTGACATTTCCTTAATTCATAAACATGTACAACTTATGCATTTTAATGCTGAATGCACACAAAATAAGCTAAATAGAAAATTTGAAATTGATAAACAAAATATTAGTTGTTCTCAATTTGAGTTTAAAAAAATACCAAATGACAACCCCCTTCACAAGTCTCAATAGTAGGGGTGTTTCATCAACCGATTCAAACTGCGGTGACCGAACTGAAAAATCGATAACCGAACTGAAAAATCGATAACCGAATAAATCGAAAACTGAATAAATCGAAAAATAAAAAAATCGAAAAATCGAAAAACGAAAAAAAAAACACAAATTTTAATTGGATTGGATGAATTTTCGAATTGGTTAATGAAAACCGATCTAATATATTAATTCTACTCTACCTACTTGGGTCTTTCCCCAATCATAGTCCAAAAAATTCTAAATCCAAGAAAAAATCTAGTCATATCTCATCAACAAAATTCCATCTGTATAGAGCTTCATCTCTTATTGTCCAAAAAAAAAACTATATTATTGTTTACTGATGCTTTGTTTTTCGAAAAAAAAAAAATTACAAAGCCAATATATACAAAAGATGGAAAACCGAAAACCGAAAAAAAATTACAAAGCCAATATCATGAAACAAATTTTAGGATTTTCAAAAAACCGAAAACCGATCCAATCCAAATCGAAAAAAATTGGATTGGATTGGATCGGATTTGAAAAAAAATGCGAACCGAATAAAAGATTACATGATCAAACCGAAAGGATTGGATCAGATAATTTTTGCTTCCAAAATCGATCCAATTCAAACCGCGAACACCCCTAGTCAATAGTACTCTTTTACAGTGTTAAATAAAATTAAAGAAAAAAAAAACTTCCATTAATATTATAAGTCCTAAAAATAAAAAATAATTAAAGTAAAGATTACAAAATGAAAACTTGGGCAATTATTTTAACCCAAATCATGTTTTAAATCTCAGCCTTCCAAACATCCCAAATTTGAGCATACCCTTATCCCATTAAGCCAATTCTAGGTCATCGCATGTGCTATTTTTTTTTCTTATTCTTCTATTTTTTATTTTTTGAAAGATCGCATATGGTCTCATTTTTAATCCCTTTGACAAGAGGTTAAGTTTTACTATATATTCACTTCATTGATCTGTTAATCAAGTACAACTTATACATCTGTTGTGTTACTTTTTAACGCATGTAATATTATATTGGGTATTATTCGTACTTTGCATTTAAAAAAAAATTTGTTGGCGGCATCATCAGAAAGCCAATTGGGTCCCACTCTATTCTAATTTTCTTTTTTTTATTAGTTTGAATTTTAGTTCATGAATAATATTTGCTATTAAAATTTTTTAAATCATACTTATATTTATTGTAAACCGAGTTATTTGTAAACGAATATAGCATAGATAAAGTGACACCTTATATATTGGGTGAACAGGTAAACCTTTGTATAAATTCCTCTCCCCTTTCTTTTTTCTCGATTTATGCAATTTGTGTGTGTCTATTTCCAAGCATAGGTGGTAGATCATGAGCAAGCCAAAAGATCCATCGAAGATACGCTTTTTATATGGCACACAGTGAAAGCTGCAGTTCATCTGGGAATAGAAACAAGCATGGTGGTAGAGTCTGGAAGGTACTGTATGACATAGTATATAAAGAACCTTGAGGTCACCACCTCAAAAGCTAGCTTAAGGGGTGGGAGTGCCCAAGGCCTTATAAAGGTCATATTAGTTGTCCATCCAATCAATGTGGGACTATATATCTCAACACGCCCCCTCACGCAAGAGCCTTTTTAGGCTAGAAGCGTGGAATTGCACAGGCCCAATTTTTTGTTTACCTTTTGTGCTATTTTTATTTATTTTAATTCCACTTTAAAGCGGGGGACGGTGAGGCTCTGATACCATGTAAAGAACCTTGGGATACACCACAGCTAGCTCAAGGGGTGGGAGTGCCCAAGGCCTTATAAAGGCCATATTAGTTGCCCATCCAATCAATGTGGGACTATATATCTCAACAAGCAGGAATATGTGCCCCTAAACCATAAGGACCACAGCACAGCTGTCGCAAATCCACTAGCAGTGTTATTTCACTTATATGTGGAGGGTTAATTGTGGAGGGTTTCTTTGTTTTTGGTCCTGGTTTAAAATGGATAGTGGAGTTGAATTGAACAAAGAATAAAAAAAAAATAAGTGCGGCACAGCCACACTGAAACATCACTAATCGCGTCGCTATCAGATATTGTTGAGACTTTGAGAGAGCCCACAAACACACTTTGGAACGGAAACGGGTTGTTGGTTACGTTTTGCGGATATTTTAGACGTTAGTGAGGAATCTCGTGCATGCGAAGACCTAGGAGGATCTAGCACTTGACCCCTGGGACATTCTCTTTGCCTTTTTGCCTTTAGCATGTGCAAATTTTATTTGTTTATGAATTATGAATTGCATTCTAAACAAAAGCACTCATTACACCTATGCCTAAGAGCTTCCCTGGCATTAGTGGAAATATTCCATTGTTCTAACCTGCTCATCATTGATTTCAAAAATTCAAACAACTATCGTTAGAAATACAATATAAAACATATAAAAACAATTTATCTTAGGGTGAATGCTCTCCAATTGTATGATATGATATCAAAACCCATATAAGCAAGTGTTAAGAGTTCGATTTTTACAATCCCGAATTTTACCCAAGTACACCCAAAAAACGGAGGAAAATGGGAACTGATTTCGGGCTCTATTGCATATGTTCAGTATGAACACCTGAATGATGCGAACCCGCTCCTTTGGATTACTTTGTATTGTGGTTGGTGGTGGTGCTACGTTGACACAACGAGAGTGTGTATGCATGCATAGAGACTCCGACAATTTAATATTAAACTAGGTTGACGAATACAATTAGATAAGATTTATACCTTAGGGTGAATGCTCTACAATTAAATCAGAATAATCATCGGTTGCTTGTGATGTGGGATTGAGATACCTTTAGAAAATATTTCCTGATTTGGTGGGATGCCTAATCATGCATGGAAAAATTGAAGTGGCAACCAGAGAATTGGCTCGGATATGAGCCCCAATATAGCGGTCTGGATTCTCTTGAACATATAAAGCAAAAGAAAAATAGTAATTCAGTTGGCAATACAGGTTGCAGGTCGCGCAGAGTAGAGAGAGAATTTGAGTTTGATTCTCATTAAATACATCTTTGAAGAGAGGCGAGGAGTTTTAAATGTGACTAAATCTCGAGTCGGGAGTAGTCTCTTAGACTTCCGATCAAGCATAAAGAAGAAGAACCCACCACCCTCCTTCCAAACAAGAATCAACAAAAAGGAATCACCAGTTTCGGACGCAATTTGATATATCCCATTTTCATCAAGTGGGTATGAGTTTTTTTTTTTTTTAGGTTTTTATATATAAGTAACATTATTGTTTAAATAAATAATGTATAAAGAACCTATTCAACTTAAAAGTTGAAGCTGTTGGGTGAAAGTCGTAATCATTTAATCACATCGACTTTAATGTTATGTAAAAAATGGATTCAGCTCAAAACTTAAGCTGTTGGATGAGATTACATTAATGATAGTGACGAAGCCAGCCAAGGAATTAAGATAAGGTCAAAACAAATGAGGTGTGAGCAGGGGCGGACCCAGCAGGGGGCTAGGGTGGGCCCCCGCCCCCCTCTAAAATTTGGGAATATTTTTTTTTATAATATATGTAGAAAAATGTGATGATGAAATTATCGTGTTGTACATGTTTTTTTCCTTCAGGGGGCATTTGGTAGAGGAAAAAAAAATTTATCCGAAAATCACGATTTCTAGGAATATGATAGGAAAATGAGTTTCATGGGAATGTTAGCAAAAAGGTGTTTGGTAGACTACAATATTCCCGAAAATATTGGGTTAATTTTCTTAATGCTATGTTTAGTTGTATTAAATTTTTTCTTACCATATAAATTCTAAAATACCACCCCCTGGATGGTATTTTCAAAAAAAATAACACACAAAATAAAATTCCGAGAAAATCAGATTTTCGGAAAAATTTTAAAAAACTTGTACCAAACCTGAGTAAATATGATTACCGCTCTCAGTTTCCCAGAAATCCTAAAAAACGCCTCGTACCAAACGGCCCCTCAGTTCCCCATGTTTCTGCCCACACTCTTACCCATATTTTTCTTTGAGAACATCGTATCATCCTCTCTCTCCTTTTCGTGTTCTGTCCATTACCAACCTCCTTCTTTAGCCTTTCGATTTTGGCTGTGTATTAAAAAAAAAAAATTCTAGAGCCAAGCAAAATAAACTTCCGCCTTCTTAAGATCATTGCATGTATGTATAGTCATAGACTATCTTTGATTACATACATTAAAAAAAATTATTTTGAATTTTAGCACGGATTCAATTATATATGAGTTTAATAATATGACAACAAGTAGAGTAAGAGTAAGTGAAGTGATATTAATTTCTGTAATAGATTTTTTTTAATTTTTTGTATATTAAATTTGTATTGTATTTCAAGTACTTTTATTTATGATATAATATTTTTTATTTTCGTCCCCTCTTATTAAAATTTCTGCGTCCGCTCTGGGTGTGAGGTCAAACAACAAATTTTTGAAATGTAACTAACTACTGTTTAAAATTTAGGCAGCGCCAAGGTACTGGCCGTAGCCAAGGTGGCTCCGCCACTTATTAATGGTTTTATAT